CTCAGTCCTCCGAGGCCTGCGTTCCACCTCAGTTTGTTGACCCATCCTTTCCACCTTGGCTCCACACTCCCTTGTCTCCTTCATGGACTGTCCTCCCACAGTCTCTGCTGGGATCTCTCATCCCTTCAGCTCCTGGTTTTGCTATGGGCTGTACTTCAACCCTCCACCTCTTTGGCTTCACCGGGTTCTACCTCACTTTTCTGAGCCCCTGGCTTCACCTCGGTCCCACAATCTTGCAGCTCCTCCTTGGTTATCCCGACCATCTGTGTCACCCTGGGTCTCCGGCACCTCGGTTCTGCCTGGGGCTCCATTTTTCCCAACTCCAGCTCAGTCTGAGGTGGTTCCGCCTGGGCTGACCACTGAGCCTCCACTCTGGCTCCTTCCTCCATCGGCTCCTCCGTCACTGGCTCGTCCGTGCTCTCTTCCACCACCATCACCTCAGTGGACTGTTCCAGCTGGGGGTCCTAGTCTCCTTCCCACCTCCTCCCCCATGGTTACTACTCCTCCTTTCCACCGTTCAGGTGTTGTGACAGGAGGCACCTGCTGGGATGGGGATGTACCATCACAGTTTTGCTCTGTTTTAAGGACTTTTAGTTTGTTTTACATTGTTTTACTATGTTTTGCCCTTTTTTTATTCCCACTGCTCATTTGTTGTAAATGTTACCTGTTATGTCTGTTTCTAGTTTCAAGTCAAGTCAAGTCACCTTTATTTATATAACGCTTTATACAATACAGATTGTGTCAAAGCAGCTTTACAGTATTAAACAGGAAAATAGTGTGTCGATAATGCAAAAGGACAATAGTAAACACTCAATTTTTCAGTTAAAGTAAGTTAAAGTCATTTCTCTTTCAAAACATGTGCAGTGTCACATTCCTAAATATTTTGGGTTTGAATGTGCAAAAATGTCTAAAGAAAAAAAACAAAAAACTTTCATAATAGTGTTACATAATAGTGTTGTGGATAGATTGGAACATAAATTGATTTGATAAGAGAAGGCATTTTAGAACAAAACTACAGCGTGAAAATAGCATTTAGGGAGAATTGTATTTTAAATTAAAATGTCAAATTGGCAATTGATTTTTTTCTTCTTTTTTAATAAAATAACTTTAAAAGTAAGTCTGTTTTGTCACATACTGTGACTGAGTTAAGTGGCGTGTTAATTAGTAGTAAATCATATGGCAGTGATGACTGAACACTTTTATTGTTCAGCTGCTCGCAGCCTCTGGCCCTTCACAAGTGAATAAGGACATTATTGAGTCTCTTTGGGCCATTTTTGCTTTTTGAGGACAAGTTGTTATTTGAGTTGTTTTTAATGAGGCAACTTTTTGCAATTTCATCCCCACAAGTATAGATGGATGACACACACACACACACACACACACACACACACACAATTATTATTATTATTATTATTATTAGTAGTAGTAGTAGTAGTTGTTGTTGTAGCATAATAATAATAATAATAATAATAATAATAGTAATAATAATAATAAAACTCATGGCATTTCTATTTTGAAACGTGCAGTGTCAGCGTTGTCACATTCCAAAATATTTTGGGTTTGAATGTGCAAAAATAACAAACAAACAAATAAAAACTCATAATAGTAGTGTTACTTAATACCTCATATTGTTAAGGATAGAGTGGAACAGAAATGCATTCTGTATTTGAGTATTTGATCAGAAAAAGCATTTAAGAACTACAGAGTGAAAATAGCATTTAGGGAGAATTGTATTTAAAATGAAAATGGCAAATTAGCAGATATTACAATTTTATTGATTTATTTAATAAAATGAGTTTAAAATTCTGTTTTGCCACATATTGTAACTGAGTTGAGTGTCGTGTTAATTAGTGGTAAATCATATGGCAGTGATGACTGTACTCTTTTTTTTTTGGTTCTTCCACTCGCAGCCTCTGGTCCTTTACAAGTGAATAAAGACATTATTGAGTCTCTTTGGGCCATTTTTGGTTTTGAGGACAAGTTGTTATTTGAGTTATTTTTAATGAGGCAACATTTTGCAATTTCATCCCCACAAGTATAGCTGAGTCATAAACACACACACACACACATACATATAGACACACACACACACACACACACACACAGGTGAACAGAGCAGCAGAAGTGAGTCAGTGAATTACAGGCCTTTTCCTTCCACAGTCGTTTATTAACGCTGATAGTCTGACTGAATTTCGAGCTGATTCTCTTTGCTTGCGTGTTTTTCCAGCAGTTCTGTGAGGGGGAAATATAATCTTTATGTTTACCTCTTCTCATTTGGATAATGTGTCATATAAATGCTAAGCTCAGGGAGTTACGGCAGGATTTCGGCATCTCTGCTGTATTAATGTTTGATCAATTTCTTACTGTGTTTATGAAGTTCTGTGCGATTTCAAACATGATGCAAATGAACACCAGCAGAATATTAGACTTGAAATTGTCTATTTATTCTCTCTCTCTCTCTCCCTCTCTCTCTCTCTCTCTCTCGTTATGTTTATTGTGGTTGGGACTCGGTCCAGCAGCCATCTTGGCTCTATAGTGTTAAAGGCAGCTGGTTTAGTTAACGGTCCGCTGGTCAGGTTAAAGTGAAACATGCGCTGAGGGAATGCTCCTGTCACATGCTAATTGAAACACAATCAGAGCAGACGTGTGTTTAACCGGCTCTAGATGAGACACGACTCTAAACAGAGCTGAGCGAAACGTGTCTGCTATAAGATTATTGCTCTGAAGTAATACAGCGGCTTCAATAATCACATTACAGTTGCACTGAATACATAATAATAATAATAATAATAACAATAATAATAATTTTGTTATACAGAACAAAAGTAAAATCGCAATACTTATATTTATGTATGAATTTATGCTTTTTAAAACGATAAATCATTGAGATTTCATTGTCTGAAAAACAATTTCAAATATGTGTTATAGTGTGAAGCGAGCCGCTCTGAGATGCTAAAAACACCAGATCACGAGCTGCTCATGTGAAAATGAACACAGTGCTGTTTCACTCACAGAGCTCAGATTACTTTCTGATTTGATAGTTGCACTAATATTGCATTCTCTCTGATCTCATATATCCTGTCTGCTCTGCACACAGTTTGATTTGCATTTTTATTATGATTATTATTATTATTATTATTATTCCAAGTAGTGTATCTGTACCTGTTTGTGTAGCTCATGTGTTTCCTTTTCAAGTTACCTTCAGTGCAGGAACGGCTTTTACGTTTTCATTCTAGGCAAGCTATATTAGAAGTATTTAAAGAATCTGGTAAATGCATAAAAAAAAAAATCAAAATCAGATCATTGTTATTTGAACTGGATTCAATTGCATATCAAATAAAACTGTCCAGACTTTGCAAAACTTTACAAAATCCATTGAACTGTAAATCATACTGATTTAATGTTAGATCAAAGATTAAAATCATTAATTAGAAATACATTCATAATAAATGTAAAGATGACTGGATTACTGTTCAGGGAGATTAATAGGTTAATTAGATTAATAAGTGATTTTTAGAAAAGTTAATCGGTAATCAGTAACAGTATAAGGGATAATTTCTAGATTGTTCTGCCTGTATGGGTGATTTATTTATGAAATATTATAAAGTAGCTATTTAAGTTTGTATGAGAGTTTGATAGCAAGTTTTCCCGATAGAAATGGAAAATGTATTTTTCCTCCATAGCTTAATTTTAGTTATTTCAGTGAATGGTTGTTGATGAATGCTCGGTGTGTGTGTCTGTGTGTGTGTCTGTGCGTGCGTGTGTGTGTGTGTGTGTCTGTGTGTGCGCGTGTGTCTGTGTCTGTGTGTGTGTGTGTGTGTGTGTGTGTGTGTGTGTGTGTGTGTGTGTGTGCGTGCGCGTTTTTGTGACAAATGAGGACATAAATTTGTATAATGACAAGGGTATGACATAGGTATTACAAGGAGAAGGTGACATTTCAGGACATTACCCCATGTCCCCACTTTTCAAAACGCTTATAAATCACACAGAATGGAGTGTATTGAAAATCTGAAATAGCACAAAGTTTCCTGTGAGGGGTAGGTTTAGGGGTAGGGTTGGTGTAGGCAATAGAATATACGGTCTGTACAGTATAAAAACCATTACGCCTATGGAGAGTCCCCACTTTTCACAAAAACAAACCTGTGTGTGAGTGTGATCTTGTGTTTGTTTGATGTATTCCGTGTGAATATCCGGACACGTGATGGCGTTCGCTGCAGGTGTTAGTTTGGAGGTCACGGGTAAAATAATTCAGAAAGGAGCTTCACATGAAGGTGAGAATGAGAAATGAGGTTTCTCTTCCATTCTTTTGACCGTGTTTTTGAAGGGATGATCTGATTATGAAATCTTTGTTTTTGAGCTCCAATGTCTCTGCGGATCCTTCAAACATGAGTGACATAAAGAGAAATCTCACATTTATTTCCACAAGCACCTGCATGAATACATATAACCCTCTCTTTCACACACAGATTGAATTTGAGCATGACTTTTTCACTGGCGATTTTTGCCATCATAATAGTTTGAGCTAACAGTAATGACCCTTAAAAGACACCTGAACTCCACGTGAGCGTGTGTGATGGATTCTCTCTCAGGATGTCATTACGTTGAAGCTGCTCTCTGGCCTTCTTACATAATGAGTCTGGAGTGACCTATTCAATATCAGTTCACACAAACACATCGACTCGCTCTCATTGTACTTCAGTCTCGTTTCCTCCTGCAGTCGTTCTGTAGAAATGAACGGTGGCATCTCAAAATGAGACATAAATCGAGCTCAAAATGAATAGTTAGAGCATTGAAAGTCTCCCAGAGACTCTGACAAATATCAATGTAACTTGAGCAAACGCCGAGACAGAGAGAAAGATAAATTAGGTTTTGTAGGTTCAGGAGGGTTTGTGTTCTTACAGGCCATGGTCATTATTCACAATATTCCCTTGTTTACTTGCTCATTGACTGACATTTTCTTTTTCTTTTTCTCACTCCCTTCTCTCTTTATTTGCTTGCAGATGTGACCAAGAGTTTTCAGAAAGGTAACTCACTTTCTCTTACATTCGTTCTGATGCGTGAATGACATCAGTGTTAAACACTATATGCAGTCGAGTTCTGTGCAGAAGTGACAATTATCAGTGGCAAAATTTTCATATTTTTTTCTCTTTTGGTGCTATTTCCAAATGGTGCCCCTCAACAGTGAACACTTTAAAAATGTGGATTGTTTAAAAACACACACCTGTTATGTTCAGGTCAAAAATGACCTGTTTAGACTTCAGTGTAACTTTTTGTGTAAAACTAATTGATTTTGTGTATGAAAACTGGTATATGCTCATCTAGATGTTTTCACAATAGTCTTAAGCTAATGTGGAAGAATTTTACCTGGCTAATAAAATATGTCAGTAGTGGTACTGCATTTATATTAATAGACATATACAGTATATATGGGCCCAGGGGAAAAGAACAGATGGACATTTAGAGAAAGGGAGAGAGAAGAGAAAGAACGAGAGGGAAGATTGTCAGACGTGATGCCAAGACTCTGTAGGGGACACACACATACTCAATGCTCATTAAAGCTGCAGCATTCTGAAGTTTGGTGGGAATTTCAGAAGGTTAAAATTACATCATATTATGTATTGTTTTCATCAGATTTTTAGTATACTCGACTAGATCAGGGTAGATGAGCAGCACTGTGAACTCACAAAGACAAAATGATTGTGGAATGACTGTAGTTGGGGAATTGCAGTTTGTCTGTGTTAGGTGGCTAATTTTCCTTTAGCACAGGTAATTCTGTTTTGAAATCAGACCTGAGGTGTTGTAAGATCAGACTTGATTATTTTTTATTCTTGATTCTATTCTATTGTGAAATCAGACCTGACGTTATTCTGTTCTGAAATCAGACCTGAACTGCTTCTGTCCTGAGATAAGACCCAAGGTGATATGAGATCAGACCTGAGGTGATTCTATTTTTAAATCAGACCCGAACTAATTCTGTTTTGAGATCAGACCTGAGACGATCCTCTTCTAAGATCAGACCTGATGAGGTCAGACCTGAGGTGTTATAAGGTCAGACCTGAGGTGATTCTATTCAGAGATCAGACACGAGCAGATTCTGTTCTGACATCAGACCTGAGATGATTCTGGTCTGAGATCAGACCCAAGATGATTCTATTCTGAGTTCAGACCTGAGGTGTTACAAGATCAGACTTGAGGTGATTCTATTCTGAGATCAGACCTGAGGTGATTCTGGTTTGAAATCAGACCCGAGATGTTTCTTTTCTGAGGTCAGACCTGAGGTGTTATAAGATCAGACCTGAGCAGATTCTGTTCTGAGGTCATACCCAAGATCTGATTAGATGATTATGTTCTGACATCAGTCCTGAGATTATTCTATTCTGAAATCAGACCTGACCTGATTCTGTTGAGATCAGACCTGAGGTGATTCTATTCTCAAATCAGACTTGAGCTGATTTTGTTGAGATCAGATATGAGGTTATTCTGTTCTGAAATCAGACCTGAACTGCTTCTGTCCTGAGATCAGGTCCAAGGCGATATGAGATCAGACCTGAGGTGATTCTATTTTTAAATCAGACCCAAACTGATTCTGTTCTGAGATCAGACCAGAGATGATTCTATTCTGAGATCAGACCTGAGGTGATTATGTTCTGAAATTAGACCTGAGGTGTTATAAGATCAGACCTGAGCAGATTCTGTTCTGAGGTAAGACCCGAGATGATTCTGTTCTGAAATCAGACCTGAACTGCTTCTGTCCTGAGATCAGATCCAAGGTGATATGAGATCAGACCTGAGGTGATTCTATTTTTAAATCAGACCCAAACTGATTCTGTTCTGAGATCAGACCAGAGATGATTCTATTCTGAGATCAGACCTGAGATGAATCTGTTTTGAGATCAGACCATAGATGGTATTTTTCTGATATCAGACCTGAGATTCTTCTTTTCTGATATCAGACCTGAAATGATTATTTTCTAATATCAGACCTGAGGTGATTCTGTTCTGAGTTCAGACCTTACCTGATTCTTTTCTAATATCAGACCTGAGGTAATTCTATTCTGAGATCAGACCTGAGCGGATTCTGTTCTGAGATCAGACCCAAGGTGATATTAGATCAGACCTGAGCTGATTCTGTTGAGATCAGACCTGAAATGATTCTGATCTGAGATCAGACCTGAGGTGTTGTAAGATCAGACCTGAGCAGATTCTGTTCTGAGGTCAGACCTGAGATGAATCTGTTTTGAGATCAGACCATAGATGGTATTTTTGTGATATCAGACCTGAGATTCTTCTTTTCCAATATCAGACCTGAAATTATTATTTTCTAATATCAGAACTGAGGTGATTCTGTTCTGAGTTCAGACCTTACCTGATTCTTTTCTGATATCAGACCTGAGTGGATTCTGTTCTGAGATCAGATCCAAGGTGATATTAGATCAGACCTGAGCTGATTCTGTTAAGATCAGACCTGAAATGATTCTGTTCTGAGATCAGACCTGAGATGATTCTGTTCTGAGATCAGACCCAAAATTATTCTATTCTGAGATCAGACCTGAGGTGATATGAAGTCAGACCTGAGGTGTTAAAGATCAGACCTGAGATGATTCTATTCTGAGATCAGACCTGAGCAGATTCTGTTCTGAGATCATACCTGAGGTGATTCTGTTCTGTTCTGAGGTCAGACCCAGGTTGATTTTGTTTTAATATTGGACTGAGTTGACTCTATTCTGAGATCAGACCCAAGGTGATATGAGATCAGACCTGAGCTGATTCTGTTGAGATCAGACCTGATGTTATTCCGTTCTGAAATCAGACCCAAGGTGATTCTGTTCTGATATCAGACCTGAGCTGATTTTGTTCTAAGATCAGACCCAACCTGATTCCCTGAATTGAACCCTTGATGCTGGTGTTGCTAGCGCCATGCTCTACAGTTTGAGCTACAGAAATCAGATAGTTCTGCTGTGATTTAATATCTGAGGTTGTTTTTTTCTTCTGGTATCAGACCTGAGGTGTTCCTGACAGTGTGTCTCCAGCAGGTGGATTGTGTGAGTTATCATCACATTATTGGAGTATAAATTTGATTTCAAACTAAAATCTCTGAAATATCTGTTTGTCCAGATTGAGAGAGACACTGATCATAAATTACTACTTTGATATGAGAAATTTCACAGGATTTGATTAGACACTTTAAAGAGAACAGAATATGTATATTTCAACCTGCTTATTGTAAAAATATCCTGCAGTTCAGTTTTCACAACAAAGAGAGAGAGAGAGAGAAAGAGAGAGAAGGAGGGAGGGTTTGGTCTCCAGGGTCTAGGCCTCTTCCTTTTGTCTTTATTTTTAGAAGCTGTAGAAACTTGTGGAAATGTGAACTGAAGCTGTTTTCTGTAACCTGCTCTCTGCACAGCTCATGCTCTCAGCTGTTATAATGGAACGAATTAATTTCTCCTCATTTTCATTTAATGTATCTGGCAATTAATAAAGCCTGGTCAGAGCGATTCAAGGGAACACTGGCCTCACAAGGATGTAAACATTGAATTACATAATCACAAATGCTAATAATGGAGTTTATAGTACAACATTTTACAAGCGGGCCAGCATGGTTGTAAGCTGCTGAAATATCATTAATTCCTAAGGTTACCATTTCTGAAATTAACACCAGGGATATTTCTAGGCCAGCTGTCAGTAATGTATACCACCTAAATTTGTTGTTAACCATGCATTTGAAAAAGGAGGCAGTTCCAGTTTTTTTTGTATTTGGTAGGTGAGACCAAGGTTGATTGGCTTAGTTTCCATTCTTTGTATAATATCTCTAGGGGATAAAAAACAGTAAGATACGCAACTAGGTTCTGCTGAAAGAATAAGTTAATCGGCAACAGCTGACACATTTAATATTGAAAAATATTTCTCTAAATGTATTAATTTAGATTTAAGACAAGCAAAAAACAGAAAATATAAACATGACTTTACACAGACTTTACTGGAATATATTAAAATGACTGATTTATTATATGTAGTTCATTCTAATATAATGTTGTTGTTTTGTTTTTACATTTTTACAGTAGGGAGACTTTTTTTGTTTTGACATAAAAAAGGAAAAGTTGTCCTTAGCTTGACATGTTTTGATCCATTAATGATTTATTGAGTGTCAATCAAGAGGGCATATGTTACATCATATGTTACATTTTTGTGACACAACCCAATTATGAACCAGAAATTAGCCGCCCAGCAACACTGTGAGAAAAACACCGAACTGAAAATCACTGGAGGTCTGTGCTGATCCACACTCTTTAGTGTGCTGTACATACCCTCGGTGTGCTGAGTTTTACAGTTGAGCTGTGCTAATGTGCTCTAGATTGCATTACTGCTCCAATTTTAGCTCTACTAACATGCCTTGGAAAAACAATAGATAGCATTACTAATGCTGACATATGAGAAAATATTACACTGGTTTATCTTTAGACACGCATGATACTGTTCTGTGTCGATACACTGTGCCGATGTGTGTTAAGCTGCTCTGAGGTCTGTACTGTAGCATTTTAATTACATTTCACTCACTTTATGGTGCTTCAGAGTCCCGTACTAACACTGCACTGAGGAGAGAGGAGAAGAGCGCCACCTGTGGCTGCTGAAGGAAGTTCAGCCTTAATGTAATTGCAAATCTTCATTCTCTAGATAGATAGATAGATAGATAGATAGATAGATAGACAGACAGACAGACAGATAGATAGATGACAGGATTTGATGTTAAATCCTCAGTAAATGCATGCATATCTTTCTCTAATTGCCATCCTTTCAAAAAGCCTTCAGTAATATAATCCTATTTCGCTCTGAATGTGAGACTGCTGATTTTTTTTATTCTGATTTTCTATTGAACGTCATTTATTGAGTGTGGCTTTAATGATCCAAAGCTCTGGGCAGCTTTTAAAAGATCTGAAGAGAAATGCCGTCTCTGCCTGTTTGCCGCCGGTAATTGGAAACTCTGCAGTGAAGTTTGTGAGAGAGAGAGAGAATGTGCTGTTATATG